TAATAGTAATATTCTTCCACCGGAAAGCTGTATATATGTTAATATTAATATATATTATCTTATTCCTGTGTCTCTTTGCAGTTATTATTTATTATATGATAATAACAGAATATTTGATCTCCGTTGGATGGTCACAGAGACAAGATCCTCTTTTAAGCTTCTTAATCAAACTTTAACAGAGAAATAATTAAATTAAACTTTGACAGCGACTCATCCCTTCTTCCCCCTTTAGTCAAATTTGAGGGAATATTAAGTCACGCACGCTTAAGCTCGCACGTGCAATTTCTCCTCTCAACAAATAATTATTCGAGGGATATTAATTATTTGTCCATATTACTAATCACGATTCATTAAAAGCTTAATCTCCAACATCAATCTCCACCAACATCATAGCATTACGAACTTCTTGTTTTTTTTCCTTCTCAATGTATTGCTAAGTTTCAATGATACTTCCTCTATTTTTGTTTTTTAGTTAAGTTGCATCCAGCATTATAAAGTATTTTTTTCGGGTGCATTTAGTACTCTAAAGTATTTTGTGGTGCATTTGTTATCTTTTTTTTTTTTTGGTAATCTAAGGCGAGTGACCCGCGATTCCCCCCGGTATCCAGCGCCTTGTCCTGAGTCCCTGGCCTTCTAAACTGGACCAGGTAACCTGCGACAACTAACTAATCCGGAGCGGGGTTGGTTTTTAGGCACGCCCATTTAAGGTGCTTTGCACCAAAGGCGGTAAACCCTTCCCAACAAGCGAGGCTCCAGGTTCGAACTTTTGTCCGCCTAGGGTGTGTCAGGTGCCTTTACCACTGCACCCAACGCTTGTTGGTAGTGCATTTGTTATCTTAAAGTATTCTTTTAACTACATCTAGAATCCAAAAACATTTTTGTGCATCTAACACCAAAGCAAAAAAAATATTTCAGAAGGTTAGATGTATCTGAAAAATATTTTAGAGTACTGGATGTACTACAAAATATTTCTTGGTAGTAGATGCACCTTAATCATTTTTTTAAAACAGGGATAAATGAGAGGGTGGTTTTAATTTGTTTCTTATTATAAAAATAATTATCTTTTATCCGAAGCATCCGCTACTCTTTCTTTTTTTACTTATATACTCATTAAAGATGAAAGAAATATTTTCTCGTATTCCCCATACCATTTTCTTTTGCATATTATTAGGAAAAAGTTATCTACCGACATTTTAAAGCTTTTGATTAAATTAACCTCCTTTTTAATTGAAAAAGTAAGTATTTGCTCCTAATTGAAATCAGAAGGGAGCATTTTCTTTGTTTTTTTGTTTTTTTTTGTTTTTTGCATTAAGAGATCCAAATGCTATGCTTCCTTAATTATGAGTGGCTTAATTCCCAACATTGATTTCCACCTAATTTACCTGCACAGACAAAAAGGAAAAACACATTCTCTAACTCTAAATATAAAGTCATATTAGTCAACTTGCAGAATAAAAAAAGTAAGTAAATTTATTATTTATAATGAATGCGTATATAATTTGTGACATTTTTTAAAAATTAAACTTGTAATTTTGATGATTAAACCTTATTACGCCGAATAAAAATGATCCAATAATTAAATAGGGACATCACCAAAAAAAGTTCAACGCTGGAGATAAGCAGAAATGTCACTTTATATTTAAAAATAAAGCAAACTTCTGAAATGAATTTTATATTTAAAAGAAGAGGGAGTATAATTTTATACGACGTAAAGCAAATAAAACACAAATTATCCATAAAGTTATGCAGAACAACAGCTGAAAAATTTATGTAGCAGTAACTCGAGAAAGATGTGTAAAAGTAACTCAAAGTAGCCTGAAGGGATAGCTTAGGACCATTATTAGCCAGAAAAAAATTAAATTATCCACCGTGTTAGATTCACATTGCATGCTTAATTTGAGCATTTAATATTTCTCTATAATTATTTTTTAAAAACAAAAGGGTGACACATGAATAGTTCTTAGTCATCCCCATGTGGTCCAATGCAGAATTTAAATAACTGTTTGGAATGTTTGCATCATTTCCATTTCTTTTTCTTCCTTTCCTTTCACTTCCATGTCTGAGAATTGAGGAATGGTCCCAAAAATATAAAATAAAATAGTAAGACTGCTGCAAATAAAATAAGGCCCCGGAAAATAAAATATGATTTTTTTATAATCAACACCAAAACAAAAATTTTAGAGAGACCAGTGCCCTGGATGAAAAGTCAGCCCGAATTCGGCTGGGTAGAGAAAAATTTAAAAAGAAATTAAAAAAGTTGATTAAAGAATATACTTATCTTCATTTACAGCGCATTCATTTGAAATTTAATTATGCGTTAATAGTATGTACTATTTTAATATAATATATTAGGCTCGGAAAGAAAAATTTAAAATTTTAAAGAAAATTAAAGGTTATACGAGTAACTTAAAAGGTGACATACAGATTCAGTTCTATAGATTCAATTAAATTTTGAAGAAATTTGGCTGACTCCGGCCTTCCGCCATTTGTGCGGTTTTGTCTCTCCCACAGTCGCATTCTTCAGTTCTTCTTCTTGAGTCTTGTTTGGGTGTGAATAAATATAATAAAATCACACAAAATGGTGCCGCCTAAAAGTCAAAAGATATTTGTCCTTTATTCCTCATATTCTAAGATTTGTTTTTGTGGCTGAAGACTTGAAAGACAAAGTAGATTACGGTATATTTAGAATCGTTAACTAGTTTTTGTATTTAAAATTGAATGTAGTAAAAAACAATTAAATAAATTGTATACTTTAATTATATTTAATAAGCAATTTCACATTCTCCTCAAAGGAAAAAAATATGATTAATAAACAATGTGATAAGCTGATAACTTAAGAAAAATTATAAAACCCGCAGGTTTGAATGTCATATAAAAATAGGAGGAGAGAGAGGAGTGTAAATAGAGTAATATTTTTAAATGAAGGAGAGAATATGAAATAATAATAAATTAAATGGAGTGGGGGGAAGGGGAAGAAATGTAGAGGGAGAGGGGAATGAGAGGGAGCACGTGGGTTGGAAAGCGACCACACCACGTGTATCGCCCCTCCTTCCCCTTCTTATCATGACATGTACCCTCCTCTTAGGACCACCCCTTTTCTCTTTTTCCGTTCCCTTTTATTTTTTATTTATTTCTTTTTTAATTAGACAATCAGGTATTAATGATATTAGGTTATATGCCAAATTGAACTAGTGAGTCTCTATTTTTATGCCACTGAACTGCAAATTTATCAGCATAATTATTATTTTATAAATAATTTAGCGTGCGGGGAAAAACAATTAGATGTATGCGCAGCCCCCAAGGCTAATTGGTCCAGCAGTTCTTTTTTTTGGGGGGGGGGGGATTACCAGAAGAGAGGGATAGTGGGAGGGGAAGGAGCAGGCGCTTTTGGGGGGGGGGGTGAAGAGAAAGGGGGGTTGTGGGGGGAGGAGGACAGGAAGGCAACGGGAGTCAAAGACGGAAGGGGAATTTTCTCGTGATACGTACTCTTCCTTCCCAACATTTTCCCCCCCTCCCCTTCCCCTCCCCTCCCCTCCCCTCCCCTCTGATATTACACAAATTACTTGATATTTTAAATATTTTATTTACATATAAATTACGAAAAATATTTTTAATATAAAAATTAGTTAACTAATTTGAGTACATTAAGAAAATTATTTAAATTAGTTATTTATAATAAATGTGTCATTAGTAATCAAATACATTGACTAGAAATATCCGCTGATAAAACTTTTAACATGTACGACTACTATAATAGTTATTTTGAGAAAAATAAATAAATATGAGAGATAAAATGAATTGAGATCTTATATTTATATCTAAATTGAAAATTAAACTAATTTTTATATTAAAGATTATGTAGTGTTTTTTTTTAATTTTTTTTTTTGGATAATGTATCTATACAATCATTTCATATAGATTATTTTTCCCTCTATACTGGCTTAGAGTACAACTATATAAATCTATGTAAATACAGAGAAGTTAGTCAATGATAACATTTGTTCTGACCGGCAAAAAAACATTTTCATACTTCCTTTACTACCTTATGGACGCGTTATTTTAACCACAAATTATCACCCAACCGTATATATACCGTTGGTCAACCTTAAAATAAAACCTAATTTCTAGTGAGACTTAAGGGATGTTTAGGTAGAAGTAAAACTATAATTTTAAAAGTACTTTTACAGTATATGAAGTAAATATCTACATATTTACTTTTATGAGTCTGTTTTGATTTCCAGAAAAATATTTTAAAAAAATATTTTTAGCATAACCCAAACACCTCCTAGTGATTTAATCATCTCCTCTTGTTTCTAGTGAAATGGTTGGTGTTTCTTATAATAGAGAGGAAAGGAAGTACATTGTCCATGACTCCTAAATAATTAATCTTTTTAGTTCAAGGAGTTGATTTTAATTCCAAATGTAATACTTTAATATACCTTTCCTCTAAAATTTATAAATTTTGTCCAAATTTACAGATTGATTGCATACGTTAGAGTTATTATAAATGAGATCATTTTCAATAAAATGATTAAAGAGATATATTAAAGAAAAACAACACATTTTTTAATCAATAACCCATTAAACGGATTTAATTAATATTTATAAATTAATTAGTTGGTTTGTATATTTATATTTAGAACAGACACATATTCTACTATCTGTATAGTTATACCCTACTCTATATACAACCAGTATCATCACATGTATTTATTTAGGTTCTGTACAACGTATGACTAACTGACCAAGGACAGCAGCTGTAATAATTCCTTTAATGATTACTGGCCTATTTAGGATTAAAAAAAATTATGGATTAAAATGATTTTTAAGTTTTCTCATATTTTTATTTTTTTGAATTAAATAAGCAAACACGCCCTTTATTATGGTTTGCAGGACATGATTTATTTCGCATTGAAAAGAGAAAAACGAGAACAGTTTCTAGTTGGCCAATGAGTAACGGAGAACAATCCATAGAAGGATACGTAGCTGAATCTCTTTTGGTAGACCAGAGGACCACAGTCTATGCAGAAGACTAGAGAGAGAGAAGTTTGAGGCTCTCAACTTCTCAAACGCAAAACAAAGGAGAGACTGAGAAATGAGAAAGAAAGAGCGCAAGAGAAGAGAGAGAGAGAGAGAGAGAGAGAGAGAGAGAGCGCAGAGCTAGATGAGTGACACAGAGATGGAGAGAGAAACAGAGAAACAGCGCAACTGTACTATGACTCAGATAAAGTAGCCTTGGATATTTGGTCACGTTGATTCAGTTCTTTGCAGGCGAAACAATAATCAACGACAACGACAGCAGCAAAAGGAAGGAGCCCCATCATCATCCTTCGGGGCTTTCCGAAAAATCTGAAGCTCCAAAAGGGGTTTTGGTTCTTGGAGAGGAGCTTCAGACTTCGAAGGCAAGAAAAAATAAAAGGGATTTCGGTGGCTATTTTGTAACCGAAACTTGAAGCTGCAGATTTTTGAGAGGGAAAAAAGAAAAGGGGGGGGGGGGGGAGAAAAAACACCAAGAAGAAGAGAAGGGGCAATTCATATTCGTTACTGAAAAAATAACTACTCGCTAATTATTATCATTACTCGCTCGCATAACTGTTTTGTCTGGTTAGTGCTTTCTCTCTCTTGATGGGGTAATCTATTGTTGTGGCTGCGTGTATAGGAGCTGCTGAGCTTTTGGATTTTTGTTTCTGTGGGTTTTCCTTTTCTTCTTCTTCTGTTCCCTGCTGCGACGTGCTTTCTCTGTCTGTTGAATGGCACATCTGGGGTGTAATCTCGGGGGCCCGACCAGTTCTCAGCCGGATACAGGTCAATGGCTATGCTTTTATGCAGGATTACTCTGTTTGGATGCTGAGAAAGTTTTGGAGAAAAAGGAAAACGTCTTTGTTTTTGCGCAAGTACTCATGGGGGTGTTTTAATCTTTTGATGTAAAAGTGAGAGTTTCATGCTTTTTTTCCTGCTGTAAAGGGGGAACTAAATGGGTTACTATGAAAATTTTGGTTCTGCACCGTTACTGGGTTAAACCAGAAGCAGGGGACTGATCCAGCTGAGGGACGATTTTGATCTAGAAGAAACTTTGTTGACTTCTCCTTCACTTTCTCAGAAACCATGCAGAGAAATAGACTTCCTTTACTGTTTATTTCTTTGCATTCTTAGCATTCACAGACGGGAGATTCAAAGTTCTGAACCTTTTGTTGATGTTTTTGTAATTTATGTTTAACAGGTTTGGCAGATGACGATCTGTATACAGAGTTATGGAAGCTGTGCGCTGGGCCTCTGGTGGATGTTCCTCGTTCTGGGGAGAGAGTTTTTTACTTCCCTCAGGGTCACATGGAACAAGTATGCTCTTTCCTTCAAGGCCCTTCTTGTTCCTTTTGCCATTTTAGGGTTACAGTTGCTTTCAAATTCGTCCGAAATCTTGTTTTCCTCATTCTTGTACTTCAACTTTTTGGCGTCTGCGTTTGTGCAGTTGCAAGCATCAACGAATCAGGAATTGAACCAACAAATTCCCCATTTCAACATTTCATCTAAGATTCTATGCCGTGTCATGCACATTCAGTTATTGGTACTGCTGATTTGATTCTCTTGTGAACTTCCTTGGTCGTTCAGTAAAAGTAATTGTGTATGTATGGAATTTATATTTTTTCTCAATTTGTAGGCGGAACCAGACACTGATGAAGTTTATGCTCGGATTACTTTGCTTCCAGAATCAGATGTGAGAATATTTGCCTCCTATACTTTTCTGCTTTAGTCTTTTCTGTCTGTTTGGCAGCTGAGAACATGAAATAACAGAATTTCCCATTGTGCTAATTGCTAATTATTGCTAATCATCTAAAATATGAAACTTTTCTCATTCTTACGTACCATTCATTGGCTAGTAGTGGAAGACTACTCTAAAATGAATGAAATAGTTATGAACTTTAAACTCTCAGATATTTTTACTTTTTAATAAAATTGAAAATTGATGAAGGGTTTTTCTTTGTGTGGGTTATGCAGCAAACTGAGCCTACCAGTTCTGATCCTTGTCCACCAGAGACTCGGACTCAGGCCTTTCATTCATTTTGCAAAATACTAACAGCATCTGATACTAGCACGCATGGAGGATTCTCAGTTCTGCGGAAGCATGCTAATGAGTGCTTGCCTCAATTGGTATCTTGCTCTTGTGCTCTTCCTTTGCCGTGGCTGCATCCTTTTATCACATAAATTTCATCAATATTCAATGCCAATATGATATATTAAGAACATATAGGGAGCTATACTGTTTATGGACAATATGACTTATATCAGGCTCAAGGGTAAATGCACAAGACCTGCTCTAATTAGTTTCAGTTTTCCATGCCTAACAATTCATTTATGTATGCGATAGGACATGACTCAAGCAACTCCTACTCAGGAGTTAGCAGCAAAGGATCTTCATGGGTTTGAGTGGAAATTTAAGCATATATTCAGAGGTAATTTGAAATTCTATATTTAAACCTTGCTTCATGGACATTTTTTTTTTCAGTGGGATGTAGAATATCTGAAGTATCAACTTAATGAAACATCATGATTTTATATGAATAGAATTCATAGGAACATTGTCTTGTTTAAGCTCTATTTCAGTGGCATTGTGGTTTTCCATTTGTATTGATTAGGTCAACCAAGGAGACACTTGCTAACAACTGGCTGGAGTACATTTGTCACTTCCAAAAGATTGGTAGCTGGAGACGCATTCGTGTTTTTGAGGTAGTTCAGTTTTGACAGCTTCTGTTATTTTGTGCTGCATACTTTTGCCATATCTATTGCTGAGGTTGTCCGTGGTTTTGGTCTCTAAAATTTTGTAGGGGAGAGAATGGAGAACTGAGAGTTGGTGTCCGGCGCCTTGCCCGGCAACAGAGTCCAATGCCTTCATCTGTGATATCAAGCCAGAGCATGCATCTTGGAGTGCTTGCCACTGCTTCCCATGCTGTTGCCACTCGTACCATGTTTGTAGTTTACTACAAACCAAGGTCTGAAGTCTGAATGGATCTTATAATAATGTGATGCCATTGACTAGTTTGGATCTCTGCCTTACAGTGCCTTCCTTTTATGTTGATCTAATTCAGGACTAGACAGTATATAATTGGTTTAAACAAATATCTCGCGGCAATCAACAATAAGTTCTCAGTTGGCATGCGTTTCAAGATGAGATTTGAGGGAGATGATTCGCCTGAGAGAAGGTATATATGTCAATTAACATCATAATCATGGAGTTTTGCTGTTCTTTAAGTTGGTCATTTATTGCTGTATGATCCTTTGGCCAGGTTTTCAGGAACAATTGTTGGTGTTGGGGATTTATCTCCAGAGTGGCAAGACTCAAAGTGGAGGTCGTTGAAGGTGAACATCATTTGAAATTGTTGATATGTTGATTGTGTTCTTTGCATTGGATCTATTACATTTTCTTTGTCATTAGGTACAATGGGATGAACCTGCAACAATCCCAAGGCCAGAGAGGGTTTCTCCTTGGGAGATAGAACCTTTTGTGGCTTCTGCACCTGTAAATCTCGTTCAACCAGCCATAAAGAGCAAGAGGTCTCGGCCTGCCGATGTTCCATCTTCTGGTAGCAGATAATTTTGCCCTCACTTCTCGTAGGCTTCCTTTGAAACAAATGTGAAAAATCTATCAAATTATTGTATCAGAAATCAAAGGGAATCACTATTTCATTTGCTCACAGCTTCATATGCAACTGTCACAAAACTTTCTAAATTCTAATCTTAACAAGATACTTCCATGGGCTAATATTTCCCTTGGTCCTTAAACCTTTATTGATCACTCCTCGCTTAATCCTAATATCCTAATATTACTCTGATTATTATAGAATCACGAATCCAAACAACGACAGAATCAACAATAATTCATCTTTCTCTACCTGCATCACTTACTTCACTGATTGGTTGCAGAAATGATTTCCAATTCGGCTGCTTCAGCATTCTGGTATCACGGGTCATCCCAGTCCCATGAACTTGCTCCACTAAGCGGCACAGCAGAAGCCCAGAGCAATGAAAACCAGGTTCTATGGAACGCAAGGCAGAACATAAATGGCAATGCTATGAACAACAGTAGCTCCTGCAACTCTAGAGTCCGGATCGAAGGAACGTGGCCTTCATCACATTTGAACATCTCTCCAAACTGTTTTGCTGACCCCAAAAACAACAAAGCTGTTGCAGTTCAATCTTCTATCTCTGGTTGTCCCCCCGTCTCTTCTTGGCCAAATGATGCTCCAGCATATGATCAAGTTGAGAACGGAAAGAAATCTACTGAGAATCCTGTGGGGTGCCGGCTATTTGGTGTTAATTTGACTAACAACTCTAATAATGTTGCTCCTCCAGAGAAAGACTCAAGAGTCTGCATTGCCAGTCCTAGTGGTTCCAAAGAATCTAATCCTGTTGTTGCATGTGAAAATAAGACAAGTCAGAACCCCAATTGTTCCGTGTCCAAAAAGGAGCAGAAGAACGAAACGTCTAATGCAACCCCAAATGAGAGGCAGGGCAAGCAGGCATCTTTACCATCCACAAGGACTCGCACAAAGGTACATGATGAGACAAAATACCTGAGGAGTGAATTTAGGATGTGACAAAACCCAAGGACATTCTTGATCACAGTGCAGTAGTTTTTGTGTGAATTGTTTCATATTTTAAGGAATGACTCGAGTGTATTGTTTGGATGAGAAGGTACAAATGCAAGGAGTGGCTGTTGGTCGTGCTGTTGACTTGACTATGTTGAATGGCTACGACAGCCTGATCGAAGAGCTCGAGAAGTTGTTCGATATTAAGGGAGAGCTTCGTGCACAGAACAAATGGGCGGTTACTTTCACGGACGATGAGAATGACATGATGCTCGTGGGCGATGATCCATGGCCGTAAGTAACTTAACTTGAACAGTAACGTTCCCCAGATTGGTTGCTTAATGAGAGGTTAGTTGATTGTAAATATCTGGTTGGCTGCATTTGCAGGGAGTTCTGTAAAATGGTGAAGAGGATTATCATATATCCAAGCGAGGAAGTGAAGAAGACGAATACACTCTGCCCGGTTCCTCCATCTTCATCAGAAGATGATGAAACTCTCATCACGGCGAATTCACAGAATAAGGATGAAAGTCAGTAGATTTAATCTCTTTTGACTGTTCAACTTTTTTCTTTTTTTTGGTGGGTGGGGGAAGGGTGTTAGCGTTTGTGTGAGCAACGGGGTTAGGGAAGGTGGTCTTAAGATAATTTGGGTTTGTTTAAATTTATGGAACTCTTAAGAACAGTGTGGTAGTGCAAGTATTTAAGTGGACTTCAATCAGTTCAATAATAACATGATGTTCACAAGAATGCCTCTTTTTCGCTGCTCAGTTACCATCTTACATCCAAGAATGCCTCCATAAAAATATAACTTATTCTAAACATATCTTGTATTTTTTTTCTGAATACAACTATTTTTATTTTTAATTTAGTTCTAATTATAACATTTTAATTCATGTTGTTTTTTTTTTTATTTATTTTCAAAATAGTTCTTATTGTAATTACATATGTTCAAAGTTTTATTAAATAATAGTTTTAGTCAATGTATATGATTAGTAAAGATATTTTAGAAAAAAATAATACCTATTTATTACAGATAACTAATTTAATTAATTTTTTAATCTTCTTAAATTAGTCAATTAGGTTTTATATTAAGAATTGGGAGTAGTATTCTATGTTTTGTTTTTTACCAGCAGTTTTTAATTCTGCATTGATATTTTTTATTCTATGTTGAGATCGACTAGAAAATTTAATTTATTTCACTTATTTCTAACCATTCTCATTAAAAATGTGTTTAAAAATAATTTTAAAGAATTGCCTATTATCCATGCAAGTAATGTTCCATCTCAAAAGTTTTTGGAACTGAAAGAAAGCGGGAAGGGATTGAAGTTAACGCAACTGCTTTTAAAATAGTAGTTTTGACAATTTGAAAAAAAAAGAAGAAGTAATGATAGAGTAATATAGGATAGAGACAAATTCAAAAATAATAATAGCTAAAATAAGTGTTGATAAATAATGGTCAAAATATAAGCACCATGTTTTCGGATATAATAAACACTATCTAGCTTCATGCTAATATTTTGATAATTTATTAAGAGAGAGGAACTTTGACAAACTTGTTTTAAACTTTAGTTGTCACGAGAGTTTAGTCAAAGTAGTCCTAAGTACCAACTCGGATTTTATCACTGTTGAATTGGGGGTTGAGATTAAATTTAATTTTCAAGATAACAATGATTGTTAACAAAAAAAAAATTATGATTTGAGACAAACATGGTTAATGACTGAAAAAGATACCTTATAAAATTAGGGGATCAGGATAAAATCTTAGAAAAGATTAGAAGATCACCTGTATACATTTTTTTTCTGTTTATGAATTATGAATACTTATGTTCTTTTTTGAAACTTGGTGTTCAGTTGAAGCTAAAAGGGGTTGATGAATTGATTGTGCTTAATTAGAAGAACGAGTGAATGTGGAATCTGAGTTGAGATGAGTCATAAAATCACCCAAAATGCATAAGATTCGTCTCCCTCCCTCTCTTAACTTTTCAGGGCATAAAAAGATATGGTGTTGGCATTTGGTGGCATTATTATTAATTACTTAATTAATTTCTTTTTTTTTTTTGGCCTGATACTTAATTAGTTTCTAATACAACAACCTTCTCTAAGAAACGACAAATCAAAAGAAAAAGAATAAATAAAAGCCGAATCTTTTTTTTAAAAATAAAATGCAAGTGGCATACAAATACTTTGCACTTTTAAAATTTGAAAATAATACTCTTCCGATCCTAAATATAAGACTTATATATATTTTTTAAAAATATAGGACCGGAGGAGTATAAATTTATTTTTTATATATTTTAAATTTAAATATTCTTTTTTTAGACTTCAACAATTAATATACACACTTTGAGAAGATGTGCAGACTGCTTAATTTTTTTAATGTGAAAATACTTTAATTTAGAAATAATTAAGGTTTAAATTTTAAAGTTTACAAGATAAAATTCTTTTTATATATTTATAATTGGAAGATAGGAGAAGAATGGTGGCAGGGAAGTGAGCAAAAATAAGAGACAGTCAAAGTGGGACCTCATGAGTTTCCATTACATTGAGTATAGTGGCTGTAAATGGGACACATGGTAGGTGACATGAACCAAAATCCGAAATTAATGTCTGAGATTTGATCATCACATGATTATGCGTCACTGTCATCTTCCTGCTCCCATTTTGCACTCTTTTTTAAGTATTACTTTTAATTTGATATTAAATATTTTAATTTGATATTGAATATAAGATCTTAATCTACTTTGTCTATTATATTTTTTTTGAAGTAGTCTTAACAGTAGTTATATATGTTAAATGTTTCATCGAATGATAGTTTTAACTAATACATATGACTAGTAAAAGTATTTTAAAGAAAATAACACTTATTTATTACAAATAGTTAATTTAACAAACTTCTTTTTTTTTTTAGCCAAACTTAATAAAATTTCTTAATCTATTCAAATTTATTAACTAACTATTATATTAAGCACTAGAAGTAATATTATATTTTGTTTTCGTTTAATTTTACCAACTTCGAAACTAATAATTTGCCCTTTATAATCTCTCCCTATTTTGTGATTTTTTTCCCCCATTACCACTCTCCATAGCTGAAGAACAATTTTCCATTTTTCTCTTTTTTTCTTTTTGGGGAACAGCATGCATTTTAGTGTTAGCTTTGAATGGCTTGTTTGGTTAGAGCTCATTGTAATTCAATAAATGAGATGATAATAAAGGTTTTGGTGTCCATACCCCCTGACACCTATCTCCTGTGTTCATCATTTTTAAAAATTATGGATGATACAGATTCGAATGAGGTTTGAACGATCGAAATTTTATCAAATCCTCGTTTTATTATCTTTCTATTCTAATAATTCTAGATGTTTACTCCCTTACACTGTTTATATTTATTTCTAAAAAAATAAAAATCCCCGGGGAGTACTAACCCAAAAGAGAGCTTACAAACGAGTAACACAATTAAGATGGGTTGGTTTACTTTCACCTTTTTTTTTTTTAAAGGGGCAAAATGGAGGAACAAAAGATGGGCTGGTTTGAGCTTCATTTTTGGTACCAGTTAATTCGGAGTGCGGTAAATAGTTGTTTTATAAAACAATGTTGATACTGGCCATTGGCCAAAAACCAAAAAACAATGTTGATGGGCTTAAGGCTTCCCTAAAATATGTATCTTTCATATTCTTAAGCCTCATGGGCGACCATCATGCTTATTAAGATCAATATCAAATAATGATAACTAACAAAAGTTAATTCATTTAGTAAGAAGTCATCTCATAACCCACAAAATCGTAAATTTGAATTTGCTAATGTGAGGACCTTATAGGTGGACGATTTGTAAGTACCTGTATATCTGAGTCTGGAAGCATGCCCTACTCCTGGCGGGCTCCTTAACCCAACTTCTCTAAATCTTTTTGTAGCAAAACCATATCAAATAGAAGTACCAATAGGAGTTGGGTCTAACGGATGAAATTAATCCCTTACAATGTGGCAAGCCAATATTTAAATCCTGGCTAAAAAAATATCCATGTTTAGTGCCCACAGTGTTTTAAATAAGATTGCTTTGAATGGATAATACATGTGCCTAGAAAAAAACAAATCAAATAGTAGTATATAAAAATCACAAGGCCTGGGTTGAGCAGAAAATACTCAATATCATTTAAATTAAGCAAGAATTGAAAGATGTGGATAAATGGTTAAAAAAAGAAGATAAACATATGGATAAAGAAAACCATGTGGCAGGGTTATGGGGGCCCATCAGTACTTGGGTAGACATTACTTAACAATAAGACATACAATTATTTTTGAAAAACTAGAACAAATTGCATTGCTTACAAATTATTTCTCAAATTCCGTAATATGTAGTGGGAAACATGCACCTACAAGGTATTCTATGTTCCTGTGAACATATTGCTCAGGCCTAGAACTAAATATGTAGATGATATATAACTCATTGACATATAAAACTAAATACCTACAGTTAAAGTTACTCCCTTCATTTCATTTTATCCGCCACTTTTTGAAAGGCAATATTTTAACATATTAATTAAAGCTTTCAACCCATCCGTAGAAACATTAAAATAAGATATAAAAAATGGAGCGCAAAGTTTAGCTAATTGAATTTGTAGCAAGGCATTTTTTCCCCCAAATTTATCCTTAGTTAACTGTAAATATTATTAAAAAATTGCTATCCAAAATGGGTGTTTTCGCAAAATAATAATAATAATAATGACTTGAAGCATTATTTTTATTTTAAACCCCCAAAATACCTCAACACAGTATATTTTAGAGCAGAGGGAGTAATACTACTGTTTATGATTCATGGTTCCTCTAAGGTGCATTCTAGCACTTAAAATGATTGCTTTTTCCACTCAGTGAACATTCATTAGTAATGATTGATTGATTAATTAATTTAAGTAAATTGCTTTAATGGGGTTTGTTTGGGTTGGTACTGTAAGGAAGGGCAATCAAACTTGGGCTTTGATGTTTATTTGGATTAGGTTTAAAGATTGGGTGATGATATGAAATCTCTGTGGGCCAATCAAGGCACAGGACCCACCTTTTTATTTACTTTAATCTTGTGTTATGTGCCAAGAAAGACTACCATTCTGTTCCTTATTATAAGTCACTTGTATCTCAAATACAAAAACTAAAAAATATATTAGATTAACCAGTTTTTTTTTCACATTTACCCTTGTTAAATAAAGATATTTAAAAATATGTTGAGGGAGAGAAAGAGAGGAGGGGACAGACTGTATAGGAAATGAAAAGTTGAGAGAGAGAGATGGAGAGGGAGAAGGACGTGTTTTGAAGAGCCATTGCTTTGGACTTAAATTAATTAATTTTTTATTAAATTAATAGGGGTAAAATTGGAAAAATATTATTAATTATACTATAAGTGACTTATATTTTAAAACAAACTTTTGGAGTACAAGTACTCTCTCCGTGCCTAATTATAAGATCTTTTTTTTAATAGATTGGTCCCTTTTTATAAGGTTTTTTTTTAGTTTGTCTGAACATTTAATGCATTGTTACTTATTTTACCCCTAATAAATTTCATATATTGCATTCTGTCTCCATACATTCTCTCTCTATTTATCCTATTATTAATCTCTTACATTTATTAGGGATATATTTGAAAAAAATTATATTTGTTATATATTAATTGTTTTTAACTAATTTTAATTGTTTTCTTAAAAAGCACAAATTGGCCAAAAGGTTCTTGTAATTAAGGATGGAGTAATAACCTGTAATAAGGAACAAAGTGGTACGTTTAATCATTTAATTCCAATTAAAAATATATTTTTTATAATTCAACCGTCAATTTGTATGAACGGTGAAATTAAAGGAAAAAAGAAGTTAACAAGGAAATGCATCTTCTGTCTAAATAAATGCCATCATTATTTTCTTGGACGGTTTTTAAAACTTCATGGCGTTTGTAAATTAGTTCCAACATAGTATATGTGTGTATCTTTCCCCTTTCAAATGCCAAAAAATATGAAAGAGAGTGTGGGTGTGGTGTATGAATCTGTGTCCTGGTTGCCATTTATTAAATACTCTCACCAACCAATTATAAATCTGTATCTTTAATTTTTGCGAATAACTTTTCTTGTTTTTATTTCTCATTATCTGGGTTTGTTTCTTTATAGTCACGCACACTTATATATTATTTCTGATTTTTAATATAAGAATTAATTTAATTTTAAATTTGGTTACAAATATAAGATCTCAATTCATTTTGTTTCTCATATTTTTTTAATTTTTTAAAACAGTCTTTCTGGTAGTTCTACATGTTAAAAGTTTAATCAAATGGTAATTTTAGCTGATACATAATTAATAAGGATATTTTAGAAAAATAATATTTAATTATTATAAATAACGAATTTAATAAATTTTTTTAATCTACTCAAATTAGTTAACTAACTCTTATATTAAAGATAAAAAAATAATATAATGATACATCCCCATGTGTGTGAGGTTGTTCTTTTGACTCCGAGTGTAAGAGGATGGTGTCTCTAATTCAACGTTGCTGACTTTTGGATTTAGGGTAATGCCAATCAAAATACTGTCTGTTATCTTTAATATAAAAGTGAGTTAGAGATTGAATTTAATATTAAATAAAAAGCTCAATTTATTTTGTTTTTGATATTTATTCTTTTGGCTCTCGAATAATCTTGTAATGATTACACATGTTAAGGAGTTATTATCAATGAGTGACACAAATACGTATTATTAATAAAAATAATATTTATTTATTATAAATAAATAATTTAATTAATTTTTTGATATTAATAAGTTAGCTGTCTATATGAGGTAGTACAAATTAAGTGGTATTTGTGGGAGCCACTAACAAGAATAAGATAATTGAGAGGAGAGCATGTGTGCACAACCATTTTGTCGTATCATGAGCCTTTTATTACACGCTAATCAACCACAGCTTTCGGGTCAACCCTTCATATACTGAACTTCAGATTGCTCACACCACGCACTCTTCAAAATCATAACGTCATGCCCTTTAATTCAAAACCTTTTGTTTTTTTTTTGTTTAACAGAACAGTTCAAAACTTATTGTTTAGGAGAATATTAACAAATCACTCACTAATAAGTAATGAAATATTATGGATAACTTGCTTGCAATTGTAGGGACAAAAAACTGTTTTTTTGCTTAAAATATACTATCTGATTCTTAATATAAGAGGTCATTTGATTTTCAATTTGATTATAAATATAAGACTCTAATCTATTTTATTTCTTATATTTATCTATTTTTCTAAATTCTTATTGTAGTTTATACATGTTAAATATTTCATTAAATAATATTTAAGTAGTACGAGTATTTAAAAAAAACATTTATATTTTATAAATAATCAATTTAATTAATTTTTTTAATTTATTTAAATTAATCAACAGGTTTTTATATTGACAGCCGGACGGACTTGATATAAATTCGAGAAGTTAACTGGCGAAACCTGGCATTTAGAGTAGGGAACCTAATAGGGGACTTTGGTGGCAAATAGGAATGACCTGTTTGGCAGGACATTTTAGGTGTGTTTGGATGAAACCAAACCGGGGTTTGGAAAAGTGATTTTGGAGAATAGATTCTGAAAGAATAGATTTTATGAAAAAGTGATTTGGAGAAGTGAGAGTGTTTGGATAGTTGTTATCAGAAACACTTTTTATATATACAAATTACTAAAAAAAGACATAAGTTAATATGATAATTACAAAAAAATAGATTTTATGATATATTTTAATTTGAAGGAATAAAATTGTTAATAATATATTTTTTATTAACATAATTAATAATACATAAGATAGTATAATTAATAAATAATTAATATGTATATATATTTATAAAATATAAGATTAAATATGTTTATGAAAAAAATATGTTTATAAAAAAAATAACAAGATACATATCCTATAGGCTCTTACACTCTCCCTCTTTCTCAAAAAACAAAAATTTTTTGCTTTTTCCAAAACCATGATTTTGGTTTTTGAGTGAGTGTTTGGGTGATTTATTCCCTAAACACAGCCTTTGTGTCAATATGTGACTCGTACTAAGCCTACCCTCTCTTCACTTCTCACTCCACAATTTATTTCCATCACTTATTTGCAATCCAAAACCATATCTGGCTTCTTCCATCCACAAAAAAATTATATGTTATGTTAAATTACACAAACGTTCTGACCAAAAAAAATCACACAAACGACTTTTTGCATGCATTACATAAAATCCGAAATAAATAATACTATTTAAGGCCTATAAATAATGTAATTTAAAAAAAAGCATAAATCCAAATTATGTGGAGCGTGTAATGTATAATTAGCAAAAGAGAAACCGGATTGCATGATATGTGGATTAAAGAGGAGACAATTCTTAAAATAACGTGTTATGTGTGTAGTGAGTGTATTGGAGAGTTCATCACAACCACAATTTTCCTTTTGAGGAGTCTTGTTCACCCCAAACATTAGTTCCTACACAAATTGTTCTGTCTTTGCTTTTGATGCTGATATTTTTTTTTCTGTGCCTTTTATCCTATTGCTTCATTTATATTAAAATAAAAAAAGGAAAACAAGTTTATGAGATTTTTTTTTGGCCATTTGGGGTTTCTGAACCCAACAAAGAAACCAAAACTAGATAGCCACTTGTTTATATTCATGAATTTAAGATATTTTTATACGCTAGCTAAAGGGAAACAGCAAAAAAAAAACTACATTTTATGAAGGATGAAAAATGATATTTACTAAAAGGCTTTAATTTAAAAAGGGTCATTTCAATTAATAGTTGCGAGCCAAATTTTAAATTTCTGTTAACATATATATATATATATATTTATATTTAGTACCCAATAATATTTTGAAGAGAATTGCCCCTCACAGTTGTATTTATGAGGGCATCTTCGATTTCGCAAGTGAAATATAAGCAAAGCATAGTGCTTGTATTGGTGTATATGTAATTGCATTTTCTTTTTTGGCTTTAAAGATGGAATACTGCCCGTTTTTTACTTTCAATATTTGTTTACTACTGCCTTTTGAATTATTTTTATACCAGCAATTAGTGTTAGAGAAAATGATATAAAAAGATGTTAAAAATTATAATATTCTAATTTAGATACTTACGAGTTTAAAATTTGAGAAGAGGAAGCGGTACTTGATCTGAGAGGAAAAAAACTATCAAATTTGTCATTGCTAGTGCACTTTTTATCATTAGTTGTTTAATACTCCTCCAATCCTTAATATAAGACCCATTTAACTAATTTGATTAGATTAAAGAAGTTAGGTAAGTTAGTTAATTATAAGAAAAGTGACAAATTTTTCCTAAAATACCATAATCATCTTTCTAATACCCCCTCTCCCTCTTCTACTTGATTATGGTTGAGGGAGTATCTATAGGGATAATTTAGAGAAAATTAATATGATAAATGGGTCTTATATTTAGGACTAAAACCAACTCAAAAATTGGGTCCTATAATAAGGATTGGAGGAGTACTTATTATTGACAGTTTACAACTTATTAATGAATAACTTTTTATTGCCAGTATATTTCTTATCATTTGATATTCAACACTTGTCATTATCAATTTACAGCTTGTTAATAAACTTTTTAATATAAGAATATTTTTGTCATTTAACTGTATATCACTTTCTGCACTATGATTTTGAAGTACCAAGTAACTGAATGGAAAATTTATAATTTTTTTTAATGTTAATTTTTTGTTAGTATAATAATACAAGTCTGACAAGTCATTAAACACAACAAGCCTGTTGTTAGCCGTGGGATTTGAATCCGTATCTCTTGGGATGTGTGCCTTAATCCGTGTAAAGCTACTGAGCTTGCAATCCGGTATTTTAAGAAAGACGGAAAGAAGAGTAGCTTTGCTGCGTGACGTGCGTACACACTGGATACACTGCCGATGTTTACTTAATACTCGTCCGTCTTTAATATAAGATTTAATTTTTAAGTTAGTTTTAATTCTAAATATAAAATTCATTTATCATATTTATCAGTTTTTTCTAAATTACTTCTATGGATACTCCCTCAATCATAATCAAGTAGAAGAGGAAGATGGGGTATTAAGAAAGATGATTATGGTATTTTAAAAAAAATATATCATTTTTTTATAATTAATTAACTTACCTAAATTTTTTAATCTAATCAAATTAGTTAAATAAGTTTTAGATTAAGGACCGGAGGAGTACTGTTTAAGATGAGGGCTAATTAATTAATTTAAACAAATTAAAAAAATAAGTTATTTATAATAAATATGTATTGTTTTTTTTCTAAAATATATTTACTAATTAAATATATTAGTTAGAACTATTATTATTACAAAAATTATATTAAAAATAAATAAATATGAAAAATAAAATAGATTGAGATTTTATATTTAACATCAAAATAAAAATAAAATAAATTTTTATATTAACAGCCGGAGGTATAGTATGTACTTCTTCTTTTTTTTTGAATGAGAGGTATAGTATGTACATTGACTATATAATATTTGATCATTGAGTATTTAATTTGCCATTTCCTTTTTATACCATTATCGTAGTTGTAATTAATTAATTGTTATATATGGTGGGAACACGTTGTCCTATGCACAACAGGAAAAACTCACGATAAAGGATGCTGCTTTTTGGAGTTTTCCCTCAGTGAGAGGCTAAACGTGACGGAAAGAAAGAACCAATATTTTCTGCTGTGAAAGGCAAAGCTTCAGCTTCATCCTCCTCCTTTCCTTCCTCATTCTCTCTTCCCTTCCCTTTGTCCCCAGTAAAGCACCTAAACACCATTCACACGCACAGTACTGAGAAGGAAGGAAGAAAAGAAAGAGAAGAACAGAAAGATGAATTCTGATGCAGAAGAGCATTCCTCTATACCAAAACTACCCTTGTTGCTCTCTGTCCCGTCAATGCCGTCACCGGAGCACTCCGGCGCCGCCACGCCTCCTCTTCATACTTCAGCTTCAGTCCCATTTCGCTGGGAAGAAGAGCCAGGAAAGCCCAGGCCTTGTACTGCTCTTGTCCCCTTCAACAACAACCCCACTAGTGATCTTCCTCCAAAGTCCTTGGATTTGCCTCCAAGACTGCTTTTTGAAGCCAAGCTTACCAAGTTACTCTCACCCACTTCCGTCTTGGAGGGCTCTTCTGCGAGCAGCGAGAGCTTTCGGTCTCCTCCTTCTTTTAGAGTGGGTGGCTCTTTCAGTGATGAGAAAGGTAGGCTTGGAGCTCTGGTTCTGAACAGAGGAGGACTCAGAGAGAAAGGAGGAGGGTGGTTTGGGTCTTGGAGGAAGAAGGGTTTGAGAGTCAGAAGAGAAGTGAGTTGGGGTAGTTATGTCTTTCCATCCTCTGCTGATAATAGGGACTGTGATGATAGTGATATTATTGGTGGAGGAAGTCACAAGATGAAGCGATCTGGCAGCTTTTCTAGCGTTTGCCAAGCCAAGTCTTGCGTCTGGGTAAGTTTTTTCCTCTGTCCTGGAATAATTTCTGTTTAGCACTCTGCTTTTGTGTTCTGGAATTTAGTTATGGCTTTGCAGCTATTCGTGTTTGGAAGACTAATTTCAATGTGTTGTAGACGCGATCAGTTTCACTAGGAATGGAGTTCTGATTAACAGTAACATTCTTGCCAAGATCCCCACTTGAATTCGGCCATTGTTCTTTAAGTTCCTCGTTAAACCAAAAAAACACAGCTTTACTGTTTTAAGTAGAAAGCTACTACAGGGCAGCTGTTTTCTCAAGGAAATTGCTGATTTTACTGCAAAATCTAGATTTTGCTTCCAAAGATGGTCCTCCATTCTTTTAGTGACAACTCTTTTGTGGATAAAGCAAGAAACTTTTATCAAAAGCAGTGAAATTTTTTTATTCCTTTTTTTTTCCCCCCGTGTCAAAGGGGCTAAATAAAACTGCGAAGGTGAACGTGTTCGATAATGATGCAATGTGGTCTGTTTTCAACTCTGCAGACAACAATCACAGGGAGCTTGAAGCAGGTGGTTCCATGGCGGATCAAGAAACAGAAGAAAGGTGGTGGGTATGGGCTTAAGCAGTAGATATTTATCTCTGTTACTTATGATGAAGTCAAAATAATTTTCTGTAATGCTGTGTCAAAAGTTATCAGCTGCATCATCTGTACAATGTTATCTTTTAATGGAAGAGGATGACAGTTATTGAAAATGGCAGGCAGGACCAGTTTCTTCCACAGTTACAAAAACACAATGCTTCAGGACTTAGGATTCGATTTTTATTACTGTGGAAGCCGTGGATCTGCCCATGTGAGCTAAGTTGGACAGGTTTTTCAACCGATGCCATCTCTGTTATTTTGGCTCGCACATCAAAGAGCAAACACAAACCCGAAATATCCTCTTACGCAATCATGGTGTGAATCAATAATTCTTTACGATTAGTTTATTCCAGAGCATATCATTGTCCTCATCATAATTCCCTTTAAATATTTTGCTCCAGATATCCGACCACGGCCGATGATTTTTCTGGTTGTTGGAAGCTACAAACAGTAAATGCTATACTGCACTGTTTTCATATTTTGAGTAGACAAAAAGCCTTCACTTTGATCCCACGTAACAAGTTCAAAGGCTTTAAATGCAAGAAAACAAAGTTCTTCATCTATAGCGGCAATGTTGAGGTGTGGAAATCAACTTCTTAAGCAAGCTTTGAATGAAATCCTCTTAACTAACTTGGGATCATGATTGGGGTTCCCAAAAATACTTATTCATGTAATTAGAAACAATTCTTTTTAGATATTTATTTTGTATTTTATAAATTATAATTAAAAAGTTGTTTTCAAAGGATTCTATTGCTGTTCCAAACAAGTTATAAGCTTTTATGTGGGTTTGCGTTTCAGCTCATTGAGCCTGCTTTCAAGCTTGCTTCTTCCTTCCTTGGACTTGGGTTCCTTTGTATGGGATTTATGAATATGAAACAAAAATCTACAAACGTTGTTAATGACGGTGTTTATGAATCCTTTGATAACGGCAACGGGCTGCCTCTATGATAGCAGGATAAACAGTGCACATCCGGTGCGATTTATGGAATATGAAGATGGGAATATACACGCGCACACTAAAAAGTAAGGATGCGGTATCGCCCCCGTGACATGAAACAAGACGTACATGGCAGTACCTCTTGTCTTTTTATAATCAAACACGGAAGATGCCTTGCTTTGGTCTTTTGTGTGTTCAGAAAGAAATTAAATCATAATTTTAAAATATATAAAATAAATATATAAAAAAATTTTATTTTGAATTATGTAAAAATATTTTTTAAAATGCTTTGTGTGTTTACCAAACACCCCCTATTAGAATTACAGCAAAAGACCATTTCCCCGGTAGTGGTCCAACCGTCCAAGTGATAATGTATGTCACAAACTTGGCACGTCCCAAGCTGACTCCTACGAGTCCCGTGAGGATTAGTAGGGCTTGGATTATATTGTTAGATTTTGATCTCTGGAGCTTATACCAAAACCAACGTTTAGTGTTTTCAAAATCTATTAGATTTTTGAGTTAATACTCCTCCGGTCCTTATTATAAGACCCAATTTGACTTTTTATTTGGTCCTAATTATAAAACCCAATCCATTTTGTCTCTTATATTTATGCATTTTTTTCCAAGATAATCCTTCTAATAATAATAGTTTTAGCCAATATACTTAATTAGCAAGGATATTTTAGGAATGACAACACTTATTTATTATAAATAACTAACTTAACTTACTTCCTTAATCTCCTCAAATAAGTCAATTGGGTCTTATAATTAGGACCGGAGGAGTATAATTTTTGTTTATCCTCATTTTAGCTGTCGTCCCTCAAAATAAAATGACCAAGATTTTTATTGAATTATAAAAACCAATATTTTAAATGAAATAAAAACTTGAGAGACTAAAACCTATGGTTTAAAATTTGAAAGACTAAAATTCAAAATGAGAGCAAATTTGAGAGATAAAAAAATTTATTAACTCTAAATTTTTTTTCTAGGGTTTTATTTGTTAACACGTGGTGGAAACACTGGTTTTAGCCAAAAAAGTGATTTTAGAAGGCTTTCCAAACCCACGTGCGAGATAACCAATGACACTGACACTTGCTTGTTACACTTCACTTCCCACATTATGCTTCCCAGGTCTCAAAATACGACATTACATTATTTTTTTTAATAAAAGGACAAATACATGTTATAATAAAATACAAAAATAGCACGAACCCATTATAGTTTGTTGATAAAAATACATCCATAAATAGTAAGCATAAGAAGTACAATACTCCTCTGGTTTTAAGGTAAGACTCATTTAAGACCGGAACAGTATCAAAAAAGAAGTAGGGATAACTTGATTTCAGCTGCTGATTTGACGAGTTTAAGTTCTTTAGTTGTTTTTTCTTTTCTTTGTTTTTTTTTTTTTTGCCAACGAAATTTAGTTCTTTAGATTTCATTTTTCTGAAACAGTATTCTTTAGCCCATATGGAGCTGCTCTTCACTTTCTGACATCTCCCACCCTTCTGTGGAAAGAGAATGGGAGCAATGAAAACTAAACACTGATAGAACCAAAAACTAGTGCTCATGCTTCATCTTCACCCCCACATTTCATGTGCAAAATCTCACGTAGCATTCATCACACAAGTTAGATGTCAAATTAAGATAGTTAAGGACCACAAAAATTTACACAACTAGATACCCATACAACACAATAAATGCAGCTTCTCTCCCTGTTTACCTATTCCCCTTCTCTATCAACTCCATGAAAAAGCAGGACTATATTTCAAATCATTAAATAAAACAAACTACAAATGAGGTAACATCCAACCCGCACAGCATCCTAAGAGCAAGCCAGCACCAACAATTGAGAGTCCTAAAGCAAATGCAACAGCATACGTTGTAACACTTTCACTTGTTGGTCTTTGTCGTTTGGTTTTAAGCAACTTCTGCCTTCTCTTCCTCAGCTTTCTTCCTTCACAAGTAATCCATGGAAGTGCCGCAGGCAATAGAGTTGAGAGTGGCTGGTCCTTATTCTTGATTTGAGCGAGCAATGTTTCCAGCTGCAGCAACCTAAACCATTGCTTATACGCAAAAAGTTGCGATGCCTGCTTAAAAATGAGTCTGACAACTTGCTCTTTCTCAGCATATGCTTGTTTTGCCGCGCCTTCTGCTTCTCTCGCTCGTGTTTGAGAATGGCACAATGCTTCCATTAGTTGAGCTTTGCCCGGATCCCCCTCAAAAGCTTGTTGCTCCTCTGTGGTATCCTTATGCACGGTCGTGTAACTGTTACGAAGTTGCAAGTCCAAACATGGTAATATTAGCATCCATGAAAACCTGGAAAATGCCTAAGTTGGACCCTACTAACAGAAAGACTTGTACTAGAAAATAATAATGCATTTGTTTTTTTACAGATTTTGGCAAGTGAATTCAGACTACTTAAAACTCAAAAGGCAAGGCAAAATTCCAGTATTTACAGCCAGATAATATTCTTTTACCTGGAAGGATTTTCAGATGCACAACGTGAGAACTTCTCATCAGCTGACGCGCCTTGTTTTCCATGCACCAGTCGTGAATCCAAACTCTCTTGAGCATGAGTAGTCAAGTTGGACAGGCCACAGGACTTTGTCTCCCAGTTAACACATGATGTCCTTGTTTTTTCATCACCAATGCTATCACATGGATGTCTTCTTACATACTTCCTCCGAGGTGGAGGAAGATCACAATTTTCTATATTGTCGAGTGATCTCATCAAAACAAAGGAAGCTAACTCATCTCTATCTGTAGTTTGCCACCATGGCTCAGCCTTATCACCTTCAGTCCAAGAGCTATCCAAATTGAACTCATCCATTTGCTTGGAAACTGAGCAACCAACACTATCAATCTCCATTGCCTCATGTTTTCCTGTCATATCCATAAGTTGCACAAATGGCTGAGATTTTTCACCAGATCCCTCTAGCATTTCATCCTTGGTAGCTTTCTTCATCATATCAACCCGTGAATCATAGTCCACATGATAAAATGAATCATACTCCTCATCACCAAAGCAACTAAAATCTTCGCATATTTCATCTTCATCACTGGTTTTCAACATCTCTGGTTCATCATCTAGTGCACTTGATTGCTGATGCAATGTGCTCTTTTGATGCCCATAGTTAGTTTGCATCTGCAACCACCATCTCGAATCAGGAGATTGATGAGAAAATGAAGATTTCCGGTTAAAAGGCATGACATTAACAGCAGCATTGGCTGAGTCATCTGCTACATTAGCTGGTTCTGCATCAGCCAATTTAGATGATGCACATGAAGGTTGGCAACATGCTAATTTGGGAGCTCTTTTTGCGTCTTCTTGGACAAAACAACGATTAGCAGTTCTCTGCCACACAGCCCTGACCTCTGCTGCTGCCATCACTTGCCTAAGATTTCTTCATAATGACTACCTTGAATGGGAAAAGATGTTAAGAGTTAAACAACTTCAGAACTCAGGAGAGATATTTACTCCACACAGCAACACATAAACCATGAAATGATGAAATCACTTAAAATGGATGAAACTGGTTCACAATTAGATGGTCTTGTACCAACATAGTCAAAACAGATCAATAACACAAGGATGATTGTGTTCCAGCAGCAGCAAGAACGATCCCCCTCTCTTCAAAGAAAGATAAGGTGAATGCTTGCACCACAACTACTAGAAACAACCATTCCAACGTGCTTCAGCAAATAATACTGTATTCTGCCTCGAGTTTATCATCAAAGGGAGGATAACAATTAGATTCCATGGTAGTAATTTAGTAACAGTGAGGTCTCAAAACAATCTTCAGCTGCAAGATTGTGGAGGAGCAGTTGCCAATTATAATCTAAAAAGTTAAAAATAAGGGAGTATTAGATGCAAATAATTGTTTTGGTACCTAACTATTATTAAATTGGATTTTAGGATCTAACTGTGATCCCTCCAGTCCCCACCAAAAAAAAAAAAAAACAAAGGAAAATGGAGGAGGAGATCATCTGAAACTGCAATGGTCGAGTCCACTGCAAAACAAGGCCTCAATTTTCATGATAGTTATTATGGAGTCAAATTTTAAATTCCTCATGTACTCCACTGATAATGGCACTGAGAACGTATGACCAAGAAATTGGGTATATCTGGTCGAAGTGAGCAACAGAACCATGGACAAGAAAATGCACAAACCAGATAAAATAGCACACAGTTGCATTAAAGATAACATATTATTCATTCGACATATATATTTGCAATCAGTTAAAGAAGCCCAAAACGTCCAACATACACTGAATAGTATGACAAGGATGAAACATGCCTATACTGCAAGGAAAAGACAGAAAACAGAGGACCACAGAGAAGGATCGAGAGGACGTACCCAGAGCGCAATATGCAGACAGTGGAAGAAAACTAAAGGAAGGCAGCGAACTGGGGAAGACTAATATAGATGCGAAAGATGAGAATCGAATAGGGATCCAAATGAATCATCACAGTGAAAGAAAGAAGATGAAGATGACGAAGATGACGCTCATCAGAAGAGGCCAAGAATTGTGTGCTTTTTTCTGTGTTCTCGTTATCATTCTTTGGCGTCGGTTTTCAGAGGCTTTTTTTCTGCTTTTGCGTCGTCGAAGGGACAAGACCGCTCAAGTTGATGAACGACACGACGTCGTTTATATGCCGTCCTCATCATCTCTCCGTCAAAAAAGTTAGGCACTTCACAGGGACCCACAAGTTTGATGAGATCTCCAAAGTGTGACGCGTGGCAATTGCATGGAAATCTGACGGCTGTCCACTGATTCTCTAAAGATAAGAACTTTATCACTACAGTATGAAAAAAAATCCAATATCCCCAACGACACGCCATCGCCCTAGGACAATACGAGAGAGGATCGATCAGCCACTGATTTTATAATTCTAGTCATGTCTTTTTTTTGGCCGGAGTCATATTTTTATATTAATAAAATAAAATTTACTTCTATAATAATACCTCCGGTCTTTAATATAAAATACTGTTTGACTTTTATTTTGGTGCTAAATATAAGACCATAATCTATTTTGTCTCTTATATTTATATATATTTTTTTCAAAATAGTCCTTCTAACAATGATAATTCTGGTTATTATATTTGATTAGCGAGGATATTTTAAAAAAGACAACACCTATTTAGAACAAATAATTAATTCAATTTATTTTTTTAATTTTTTCAAATTAGTCAACTGGCTCTTATAATTAAAATTAGAAGTAATAGTATTTCAGAAACGATTCATTCTCTAACAGCTAACTTAATAAGTTGGAATTCGTACATGGGATGGGATAGGTTGACAAGCAATAAAAGTGGAATAAAATCTTCTATAATCATATAGTCAAAAACTCTGGGGAGTGGAAATAATGCGAGGTATAAAAAACTATTTGATTTTGTCTATTTTTCCTATTTTTTAAGTGTGTCGATAATATACAATAAAACATGAGATGAAAAATAAAATAATAAAATTAAGAAGAGGCTAAAGTGAGTGAAAACGTGAGCTCGAGAGTTTGATAACCAGGGTGTGCCCATGGTTTTTATGTTGGTGGGTCACAAATCATAATGACTCGACTTGGCAAAAAGAGTAGGGAAAGGGGCACGTTTCATGGTTTTGGTTGGTAAGTAGACTTGAATTTGCAATTAAAAGCTTTAATTTCTTGGGGAAGCAAGTAAAATTATAGAGTAAAAGAGAGACTTCTACAACTTTAGGTGTAATAGTATAATAATAATAATGGTTGTTACTTGCTCCCCATGATTTCCCGTTAATCTGTGGGGCTCCTAAATCCACATGGGAATCATTTTAGATTTTCCTTTGAAGCAGCTATAACTCATCAACGGGTTATTAGCCTTGTTTTAATTATTTTTATTTATGTCTTGGTTTCTAAAATTTACCCACGTATTTTGGGCTCTAAACGAAAAATTTTGAGACCCCAATAATTAAAACCAGCCTTGTTTGATTTCATAATTACTTTTTTTTAAAAAAAAATCTTTTATGTTGTATAAGACAAAATTTTTTTATATCCTCATGTGAAATTACTTAAAATAAATTAATTCAACACGCTGAGAGAAAAATTAGAGCAAATGTTAAGGAACTAGTTTCAGTACTCATTACTTTTATAAGCACTTTAAGTTCATCAGATCTGAATCATCTAGATCTCATTTAAACAGTTTATATTTTAAAATTTTAAATTAATTATTTTTAAATAAAAAATTATTTTTTGAAAAAATGATAATTAACATATTATCTTTATTTTATATTTTATACACATTAAAATAATTATTTTAAATAAGTAAAAAATAAAATCTGGTCCATCTAAATAAAATCTAAATGATTTAAATATAATGAATTTAGGACACGCTTCGGCGATATTAAGTTCCGGATCTCTCTCATTCATTCCCACGTATTAGCTGGGCTTGGGCTTAAACTACTTGGCCCAATAATAATTCGACAAATAACAACTTCACGAACACTACATATCAATAGATATTCGCCGCAGACTGTTATAATGACCAATAAAAAATGTTAAAAAAAATTAATTTTATAATTTATTAGTCTCTCCCCTCCTAATATGAGATTCACTTTATTTTACAGAACAAATTTTATATTTAGAACATGCCGAGTATTATATATATTCTTCTGATTCTTAATATATGATCTAATTATTAAATTAATTTTGATTCTAAATATAATATTTATTTTTTATATAAGACCTATTAATACTTTCTCAACTATAATTAAATAAGTGAGTGAGAAAAAATATTAAAAAAAGATGATTATGTTATTTTAAGAAAAATATGTTATATTTATTATAATTAACTAACTTATCTAATTTTTTTTAATCTAATCAAATTTATTAAATAAGTTTTATATTAAGAAAAAAAAGTATATCTATGTGTGTATGTATGTATATGGTGATTGATAGTAACAGTCGGTGATGGGGTCGGAGGTTCTTTCTTTGCTGTGTGATTCCCACACAATCTGTCTTGAATTAATTAATTAATTAATTGCCACCGACTTCACGTGGCTTCATGCTTCTGGTGAAGGAAAAAACAACGTGGCTTCACGCTGGCTGACCCCCCTGATATTGCTGACTCAGCTCCAACGGTCATTTAGAGAACGGAGATTTTTTCCTTTTGACGCGCAAGGAAGAGGCTCAGTTCCGCCTCCAACGGTCACTTTGATTGGAGAATGAAGGTAATGAAAAATGGTTTTATACAGCTAAGTCGGTTTTACTCCTTCCCATATTTCTCCATCAATATTAGCCTACTCCTTTCATCTTTTCCCGTTCCCAAATAACGCCGATCCGGTGCTGTTTCCTTTTCGATCGCTTCTTCTTTGATTCCTTCGTTCCAAATCCAAATTCATTCAATCAATACTTTTCCGAACCCATCACCTTTCTCTCGATCCCCACATGGACAACAACGGTGGCTCTACCATAGCTTGCGACAAACTGGATCGAGTGGCTTCCTGGTTCGGCAGCAACGTGGCTTCCGCCTTCTTCGCCTCCTTGGAGCGATGCTCCTGCATCAACCTCAGCACCACCGACAACGATGAAGACGAGGATGCCCACGACCGCCCTCTTACCTTCTCCAAGTCGGTTCTCCATATTGGATCAGAGATCGATGCCAAACCTTTCATAGATTCCTCCAAGCTTCCTTGATTATAATGCACGGACTTCTTCTACATGTTTATAATCTTCTGGGGGTTTGTCAAAGTTTTCTGCCCCCCCCCTCAACAAACAACTCGATAATTTTTTTTTGTATAGCTTGTGTTTTTTTTTTTTTAACGCTGTTTATGATTTTCACCATGTTAACTTGTTGAATATGTGATGAAATATAAATGATTTTGTTGTTTGCATCGACATTGTACAATAGACTAGTTTTGCCATTCTTTCTCTTGTGTCTGGCAGTAGGGGGAGATAGAGGCTGATTACCTATTGTGCTACGTTTCAGATTTTGTGAAATCATGCTGGTTGTACACTGTTTGGAATTTAAATGATTCTGCCTTGTCTTCTTATGCATAATTTTTACTGCTAGTTTTATCTCGCTGCTCCCCATGGGCGTTTCTCTCATCTTCCTTCTATGGAGAATAGAGATATATTAATCCGCAGCTGAGGAAGGGGAGGATTGTGGCATTAGAGTTTTTAAACATTTTGCTAGAGAACGCTGGGGCAGTATTCAGGACTATTGAAAGGTCTCATTTATTTTTTGACAAGTCGGAACAACAGTGAAGGGTTTCAATGTTTCATTACTTTCTAGTCTTGTTACTTTCTTTTGTTTTGCTTGACGAGAATTTTCCTGGGAAAGCTTTTAATGTGACTGTTTTTATTATGTGGGAAAAGAATGTACCTTGGTCTAATTTTGTTGATACGCTCCATGTAGTTCTGCATTTAACTTAATTTTGAATGTGTTAAACATCACTTCGTTGTCTGGAAGTTCTGCTGAATAGATGTTACTTCCATAGGTGTATTAAACAATTTGAAATGGTATCATGATCGAATTGTGGATGGTCATTGGAAAAGAGTATGATTCTACATTTGTACTAGGCGTCTTCTTTATTAAACTCCAACTTTCTATGCATAATTAAGTAAATGTCATATGCTGGTAGCAATAGTTTGTTAATCTAAAGAGAAGCGCGGGAATTTAAATCTAAAACCTTGTAGTTCAGTTTTCTTTGATTAGACTTTATTTGGTCTGAGGGTATTCTGCTCTGCAGATTCTCTGTGGCCTAAGGATTTTCATTTGAGCATTCAAATAGAAATAATCTCCGTCCAGAGTTGTTTTTAAACTACAACCATACATTTGAAGCCACTCAACTATGGTGGAGTGGTGGTCGCCAATGTCTAATATAATATTTGAAGCCTTAAAGTAGCTTGGTGCAAGTATTTCCATTGTGTTTTTGTTGACATGTGGATCCTAGTCTCACATTCTCTCCTTTTTATAGAGCTTGCGATAGAGATCTAAATGCGAGCGACATATTATCTTTGACATCCTGAATTTTTTAATAGATATTTATGCAGTTTTCCACTGCCAATATGGGTAATCACCCGCGACACTCTGATCAGAAAATTGGGGATTTTGTTTGGCTCTTCTATAATTCCAAATTTATGGACTTCCAGAGTTCAGGTGTCAGCAACACTGTTCATGATCCTGCTTCTTTCCCTTTCTGGAATAAGCAATCTTGACTTGTTAGAGGCTGTTGGAATGCTGTGACAAGACGGTAAATTTACGTCTGCTTTCCTTAAAAATTTAATAATCTTTATTTCATTTACAAGGTGCAACTTGAAAGCTGCCTTTGTCCTCCTTATGTCGTTTCTTCAGCGTCTAGTTGATCATAAAAGTTTGAGCCTGCCCGGGCCTGTTTTAGGCAGGCCTAAAACAGGCAAATTTCCAGCAGTCTTGGGCTGGCCCACTGGGTTGCGGCTCACTTGCTTACCCTACTTATCACTGTTCTTTGAATAGCATAGAGCTTCCGTGTGGAAATAACTTTTTCTGGGCATCTCCGTTGCTCCCTTCCAGCCAGTTTCCCGACATTCAAAGGGATCGCTTGCCTTTTCTTTCTCAATATTCAATGTATATCTTTTGGGATCAGTGTGCTTTGACCCATGATTTCCTACTGATTTGTCTTTATTATTTATTAGGAGAGTGATGAATGTGTTTGCATCATTTATATCGGTTCAGGGCTTCAAATAATTTATGCCCTTGATCGCCTTCTCACACGATCCAAGTTGGTTCCCCATGTTAGATCAGAGAACGATGGTAAACTTAGATTCGCTAGGCTTCCCTGATGTTGATGATGCATAAACATTTTCATGATTATCATCATCTGGGGGTTTGTCAAGTTTTTTCTTGTTTCTTTATTCGATAAATTTCTTTTGTACAGTGTCCATTTTATATTATGTTTTTCCCTCCTGTTTATGATTTTCACTCTATTTATGGTTGTTATTGACAATCACAAATGCATCATGTTTTATTTTTTGATTCGTCAGAGTAGTTGCATTAGTGAGAGAAAAGAACTTGCACATTCTTTTCCCGCCTCTGCCCTTATGAACATCATGGAGGTAGATATATTGCAAGAAAAAGATCATTCTTTTCTTGGATTGTCTTGAGTGAATAGTAGTATAAGTGGAGGAAGAGAACTTGCACATTCTCTGCTGCCTTTGCCCTTGTGAAAATTATTGAACTTAAATAAATTCAATTAGGTTTTCTCTTTCTTGCAAGAAAAAGGTTATTCTTTCTCTGGATTGTGTTGAGTGAAATTGTTTGGGATTTCTAGTTCCAATTAATCCTTTTATTGTTGGTTACTTTTCCCAACAGTCTATAGATCCATAATTGTTATTACGTTATGAAACAGATTATTGACCGATGAAACATTCTTAAAGGTTTAAAGAAATAGAGTTACGCTTGAACTAATAATTATAATTTTTGACCTAGTGGTTGCTTACTCTATCCCAAAAACTAGTATGGGATTTTGCATCCCATACTACCCAAGTCCTCATCCTACTGGTCAAAACCCTCTATGGGAGTCCATCTCAAAGCTGCCAACAACCTGACTCTAATACCCAATTGATAGATACCTAAATGAGATGGGAAGCCTTATCCCAAAAGTTAGCCGTTGGGATGGGAGAATCAATCTATTTAAATATCTTATTGAGCATCCCATTCTACTCAATGTGGAACTTAGCCCATAGTACCAAGTCCCTGTCAAAATCCTATAAAATGTCCTAAAAATTTGTTTACGCTTACATTCTATCAATCTCTCCTGAGTCAATGGGTTTAACATCCCATCTTATGGTACCAGTAATTGGGGGAGATTGCTGAAAAAAGTTTGGTTAATGACTGTGATCAATATTGAATGTATTAATTAAATCTCATAAATATAATCAAATAAGTTTAGATAAAAGTGGGTGTATGACTGTATGATGACTGGATGAGAGACCTATTTGGTGTTTGTGGTATGTTTAATACGGGGGCTAGTTTATGTAATTAATAATGAACTCAAACTTTTTGTAGATAGAATTTGTTAGGATGTGAAGTGTAAGCATGTAATGAGAGAACTGGGAGCCTAGGACTTTAAGTCAATAGGTGCGAGATGACTTGATCTAAAAAGTAATATTTTTTTAAAAAAATAAGCCAGTAATTAAACATAATTATACTAGGCCTAAAAGGATAATAACACAAGAAGAATGAACGCCTTTTTAATTTTGGAAAATTATGTACGCAAATTGTAAAGATAAATAAGAATTCAAAGGATCTAAACCTATGTTGGCAAAAAGAAAATCAAAACTTATTTTTATACTTCAAAGTTTAAACCTAGTACTTTAATATCATTAAAAAATATCAAATATTGCATGCACACTGAAACAACACGATAGCAATGTATTTATTTTATTGTGAACGTGGTAAGAATTCTTCTTCTTTTTTCCCCAACCGCAGTAAGAATTCTTTTACGTGATCATTTCATAAGAATCAGTCAACAACGAACTAATCTGATGGTCTATCCCATGAGACAATCCTATACATTAGAATGACCAAGTCATCAGAATCCTAAAGCCCTGTTCCCATTTTAATTAATTTCTTGGCCCCTGGTTTGGCTTTTATGTACATTCAAATTCAAGTTTTCTTTTCTGGGGAATATATAATTACGATGGAGAATGGGTTTGATAAAATAATTGTGATTTCTGACTTAGTAGGATTCTTTTTTCTTTTTTCTGCCACTGACTTGGTGGGATTCACATGGCACACCGCACGGTGGCTATAATTACATTGTTGTTTTCTGCAGCGGGGAAGTATACTTTGAAATTTGAATCAAAGTTTATTCGTACATTGGAATTTTTTTTTTTTACCAGCTTCGTACCTTGGCATTGGATCCAAGAAACGAAGGCAATGGTTATGTTTTGCGGGTCATCTGTCTTTTGCATGTGATTACCATCTCTCACCATTAGCATCTTTTAAGAAATGGCAAGAATAGTTAAAATTCACAAGGGAAAAAAACTTAAAATATATAATGATTAATGCTCCAAATAATAAACTGTATTGAAAAATGTTCCAAATAATATAGTATATCCTACTTATAAACTTAATAAACGTGCAATTTTTTTTTTTGGGAAAAAAGGATAATATGCAAAATTTATATAAGAAAATGTGCCACCATTTCATTTGTCCATTTACACACAATACGCACACTCTTATAATTTATCATCAGCAAAAATAAATGTTAATGAAGTAACTTTCTCCCCTCTATAAATTTATTCCTCGGGAAATCTTGTCTCGTTTGCCTATCTGTCTTAGACATTCCTTATTGATTTTAATTTCAATTAAATAATATACGTAAATTATAAGTTAACGATTTCACCTTCAAATTAACAAAGTAGGATATAATTAAGTCAAACATTTGAGTCATCGATCTGGACTAGCAAGCTGGTCAAGTACACCTCTTAGTCAAGAGTAATTAACGAGTAAGGAAAAAAAACTAGAAAATCTTCTTGGCTATTATATGTTTTCATACTTTCGTATTTATACTTGAATATGGATTTGAAAATATCAATAAAAAATAATCGTAAAGTATTACTCTAATATTTTATTTATGTAAGTTATTAAAATAATTTAACATTTTATAATATGATAATATGTAACACATATAGCACAACTGATCTCACACATTTCATGGTTCAATTTTCCATAGTATGTTCTTATATGTATATCCAAATATTGTACTCCTCCAGTCCTAATTATAAGACCCAATTGACTTATTTGAGGAGATTAAAGAAGTAAGTTAAGTTGGTTATTTATAATAAATAAGTGTTGTTATTCCTAAAATATCCTTGCTAATTAAGTATATTGGCTAAAACTATCATT